ATTTTTGTATGCATTCCATTTTGAACACTGAGCTGATCAGTGTTGCCAGGTCCGATTTTCAAAAATCGGGAGGCGTTATAGAAAAAAACAGTAGATGTATGCAAACATTATTAATGACGGAAAATGCAACTCAACATGAAATTTAAAAAAGAAAATCGAAATCTAAAAAAAACAGGAGATTCATGTAGAAAAACAGTAGAACAGGAGAAATTTCAGAAAAACAGGAGATCTCCTGTAAAATCTGGAGACCTGGCAACACTGGAGCTGGTGTATTTTATATTTAAAAATGTTTGTATTATTTATTCTTTTAGCATTTAACTGCTAGATATTTAAATCTTAAGTAAATATTACTAGAAAGAATTCCACGCGGACCAGGCAGCAGACAGGACTCGAACCTGCACCCTTCGCTATCCAGGCTAATGTACTGACTATCGTACTACCGCGGCCCTGATGGCCGTGTCGAATTTTTACTAGCCTTAGGCTGCAAGCTTCGCATTGTAGATAACCCACAATCCCTAAATGATTTTGTATTTTTTGGACCGGATGAGGGATCTGAATTTTTGGATTAAAAAATCTGTCAAACAACGACCAAGTTTGTGAATCTTGAAAATGTACTCACAGGAATCCATATCATTTTATAACCCTTACCTAGTTTATACCCATGTTTTTTTTAAAAACTTTTCATCCAATAAAATGACACTAATCTATTTTATCAAACTTTTATCGATACAAAATGTTAGGGAACAGGTTACACTCAGATTACAGAACTAAACGCAGTTGGAGCGCATGGTACACAGAATTCGTACCACCAAAACAAATATCAAATCAAAAGTGAATATCAACTCGTATCAGTAAATTACCAGTAACAACGCATTGCGTTATGAAAAAGTGCCGTGAGTGTTTTTAATTATCAAAACTGTGTCGCCTTGTTCAAACATTGTAAAAACTGTTCGCAAAGACAAAATAGATCTTTACTGGTCTGGTCCGCGTGGATGTTTTTCTAGTAAACTTTTCTTAAGATTTAAACATCTAGCAGTTAAATTCTTAAAAAAAATAAAAAAAATTCATAAGATCTTTACTTTTAACTTCGTATTTGCTTTGGTGGCCGCAACTTCGTGTTCCGTGCGTTATATTTGACTTTTATTCTGTAACCTGAGATAACATATATGTCGAGAAAATTTCAACATTCTAATACATTTTGATGCACAGCCCTCTTATCAAAATAGTTTTCCAATGACATCATAGTACATAAGAAAATAAGAAAATCTTCATCTATCGATAGATAGAGTCTGTGTGGAAAGAGAATAGGATTTAGATTGGAGGCCGCTGTAGTGCTTTTCTACCGTATTTGTAAGGTTTTACCCCTTTTAGACATGATTTAATACAAAAAACCGCAAGAAATCACAACAACAAACAAATCCGTATCAATACAAAACTTTGACGTTTTACAGATTGCTGGGTTTTGATTGCCAAATAAAAATCTTAATGTTAGTTCCGTTTTTCGCCACGCCCATTCTGTTTCCGCACAGACTCTAGGCTCACTCTTGCCTAGTACCTAATCCATCACTGTTATATCTTTCTTCTATAAAAAAAAAACAAAATTCAATATCGTTTATTCAGTCTAGGCTGTTACAAGCACTTGTGAATGTCGAAAAGCTACGCCATCGGTTCGCAAAACTACGGCGGGAGACCATGTACTGAGAAGAACCGGCAAGAAACTCAGCAAGGGCTGTTTTTTTCTCCCTGTATTGTATACAGAGTCGTCAAATTGAAAAATGACTTCAATATGAGGTAACTCATAAAGTCACTTTCCATTACAAATGCAAATACTATAAAAATTATGACTATATAAAAAACTGGTTTAACAAAGTTTAGGAATGCCGTGTCCTGCTGTTTAGGCAAAAAAAATGAATGAAAAAATTATGATATCTGAATATATGAATATCCTCTTATCCTTTAATATTTTACACCCATATAGTGATCAAAGCAAGCCCGCCTATGATGATTTAACGACATTGGTAAAGCAAACGAAAAATTGACAATTTGTATTAAGCCACCATGACTTAACACGTAATTTGAATAATCCCAAATCTCTATTTTATATCGTCTGCGTATGGAGTTTATTGTTTAAGTCAACTTCAAGTAAGTTGCTTTATCTCCTTTTCAAGTTCCGTAACAGTTATAAGTGTTATAAATAAGGATTAACTTCTCTCATATCGTAAAGTCGTAAAGAATTCTGTTGGAACTTGTTTAACAGTTCCTAGTTAACGGTTTTTCGGTGATGATCAGTTTTTCTATAATATACAAGTAGGAGCTTAACTTATACCCATGTTTTGAGATACTCTTCACTGACAACAAAAATATAAATTTTTTCAACGCAGTGAAATTTTGTTGCTGAAATATTTGAGAGTTTTTTGTGATAGTTATAGCCTACTTTTGTATTAAAAAGTTTAACCATAGGTTAACTTGGCGAAATGACCTATATATAGAGCCGTAAAGTTTAAATGGACGACCTCCGTGGCCGAGTGGTTTGTACGCCGGGTTTCATGGCTGTCGCCGACTCGAGAGGTCCCGGGTTCGAATCCCGGTGGGGGCAGATGTTTGTGTGATGAATACGAGCATTTGTACTCCAGTCATGGATGTTTAATATGTATTTATATAAATATACTTATATATGTACAGTATATGTATTCTATCCGTTACCCTAGCATCCCATAACACAAGCCTTATAGTGCTTACTTTGGGGCTAGGCTAATTGGTGTGAGTGTCGGAAATATTTATTATTATTATTATTATAAATAGCCCGCATGAATACTGCTTATGCGTACCCCAAGCAGTTAATAGGAATTATGATTCTTTAAAAACTTTGAGAAGTAAGCAATTGTAAAATGTAATCTCATTTTTAATTATTTTCAATTACAATATAGGCATATAATATAACATATAATAAAAGCTATAAAATAATAAGATACAAATTCTTAGACAACACAGAAATCAATGTTACCAGGGAAGATCCCTGGTGCTGATTTGGTGCTTAAGTTCTGTGACTATTCCAGTGATAATAGTCACTCACACAATTTATTCAAGTACACGAAAATCACACCAATTCAACAAAGACACAATAAACAGTCTATGTTAGACCAAAAGTATTTTTTAACCGGCCAAAACAACAAAGCTAATCAAATATCAAAAGTCATGTAGTTTCAAGTTCATAATGCGAACGTCTCGACAAACAGCAACACTCGAGACCCAATCGAGGTTTCGCGGTCAACCGCGGATTTGGGGCTTAAAGGGGGTGAGGGGGGAAGGGGGTCTCGAAAAGTGAAACGAGATAGCTGTAACCGGTGACGCTGAACATCTCTCCCTCCGTATGCCTCAAACAAGAAGGTTCAGATTCGTGTAAAACTTCTCGGATTCTGACGTATAAGTTAGTCAGGTTCACGAATCTTAATGGCCATTATTAATCCTCGGACTACCATGAGACTCGGAAGATTTATAACAATTGGTCTGTCAATTTGAACTTTATGGTTTAATGTAGCTGTTTGTTGAGTGATTGATTGGTATTCAACGGTGTTGATGGTAGCGAAATGCTTCTCCTAACGATATTGGATGTCCATTGGCTTACATAGAGTTATGATACTAAACTAGAAAAAAATATGTTACTAACGGGGCTTGCTATATACAGTTGCGGATCGACTTTTAATAACTAACACTTTAACACAAATTTTAAATTAAGTCTAACGACAGCACTCAATTTTAATTTCAACAAACTTACCTGTTGATTTGATTCTTCGAGAATAGAGATGATGGCAAATTTTTTTTTTCGTTTATCATGTAGATTATCAAAAAGTATTGGACACGTATTTTTTCTTTTTTCACATAATATAAACATTGCAGAGATGTAGCGATTTGAAAAGTCGCATGACGTCACGTTTTTGTACAATTTTAAGTGAAAATTCACTAAAAAGTGACATCACGAGCCCCTACTCCCAAACTTTGACGCGCTATAACTTTGTCACTTTTTGGTCGATTGCCCAAAAAAAAAATACGTGTCCATTATTTTTTGATCATCCAACTGACCCTATTGTTGTAAGATTTATCCCTCAATCGCAAATCAAAACCTTATGTTTAAGCAGGCAAACAAGGTGACAATCCACCTGATGGAAAGTGGTTCTGTCTTCCATGGCAGCAGTACTAAGGGTACTCAAGCATTACTGTATCTGAAGGAATAGATTTATCCGTCTTTTAAAGACCGCCATATTATAACTGCTATGGGAAGTTCGTATCAGATCTTTAAAATTAGCCTGATTTGTTTATCGTTTTTTAAATATAATCTGTTTGTTACTAACCCACTATCGATCGATTGTTATCCGAAATAAACGATTATTATTATTGACATTTCTATGCCACATATCATGGTAGAATATGTGAACAAAAAAAATACAACCTTGTCATCATATTATGTACTAGCGGCCCGCCCTCGCTCCGCTCCGGTGTAGAGCTGAAGTGTAGACCACAGTTTTTGTTCTCAGGCTTGTATTATACACAATGACATTCATCTATGATTCTTCTTATACCTGCATGCAAAGTCTCAGCCCGATCGGTTTAAAATTGACAAAGTTTCATACAACTTTCATTCCCTATTTTATCCGCTTGGGGGTAGAATTGACCAAAATCCTTTCTTAGCGGATGCCTACGCCATAACATCTACCTGCATGCCAAATTTCAGGCCGATCCGTCCAGTGGTTTGGGCTGTGCGTTGATAGATCACTATGTCAGTCAGTCACCTTTGAGTTTTATATATATAGATAGATAGATACCATATTCTATGAAATAAATGTTGAACTTTTTTTATTTTATCTTGATGGAACAATCATAGGATAAAAAGGACAGCGCGTATCGCATGCTGCTAGAACGCAAAGTGTCCAAATTGATGCCTCAGACCATCAACAGGTTAATTATGATGATGATTAATACAGTGTGCTTTCTGTTGTATCCAGGTAGTGCCGTCATCGCGGCGTTATTGTCCCTTCTCACCGCATACAGCCTCCGCAATACTGGCAAGCAGACTTCAAGGAGGGGCGCACAACTATGATATACCGTGGCTGACACAAACAAAACATCATCGTAACAGGTATGTATCACATATAAGATGACACATCAATGTGGCTTTTATTCACCCCGCTTAAAAATAAAAACCATTCGGATGTTCCATGCTTACTCAAAGCCTCCCTGATAAGGTCAGATGCGTTATTGCGTATATCTGTTTTAGTATATTTTGTACTAGTGGCCCGCCCTCGCTTCGCTTCGGTGTAGAGCTGTAGTGTAAACTATAGTTTTTGTTCTCAGACTTCTGCTATAAAGAATGACTTTATTTATATAATTACACGTGTTATTGTGAGTCAACCATAAAAGATAGACATATGCTGTTGCGGGATATTTTTTAGACAATTTTATGTAGAATATTTCCGTCATACATGATTTCTATGTAACTTTAACCATTAAAGCTACATACGCGACGGAAGCTTAAAAAATGGAGTAACTTCTCCCGTTTTTCCAATATTTCCCTTCACTACTCTGCTCCTTTTGATTGTAGCGTGATGAAAAGTATACTTTAACCTGCCCAGGAGTGTGAAGAATAATTGTACCAAGTTTCGTTAAAATCTGTCGAGTAGTTTTTGTTTCTATAAGGAACATACACACAGACAGACAGAGAGACAAAAATTTTACTGATTGCATTTTTGGCATCAGTATCGATCACTAATCATCCCCTGATAGTTATTTTGAAAATATATTTCATGTACAGAATTGACCTCTCTACAGATTTATTATAAGTATAGATATATACAATACATACATCTAAATATGTATGCTATATCTACAATACATACATAAACATACACATAATTATGACAGTCAAATATGAGAACGCAGATTAATTATATTAAGATAATGCTCACGAACCAATCCCTGAAATACAAGTTTGTTAGCAGCTTTACGTATATTAGGGGGCAAGTCATTCCAGAGTCGTACAGCCGTGATGGTAAAAGAATATGAGACGGGTTTGGAGACAGTGAGATCCTAAGGGGACTTCAAGCCGAGAATCAGCGAGTGCCTCTAGAGGTATTCTAGGCGGGTGGCATCTCCCCACGGGGGGAGTCTCCTCTCCGTCTGAAGACATTAGTTTAAGTTGTATCCTTCCATCTGTGCGTGGATAAAAATACTATTAGCAATGAAAGTAGAGAGACACTAAGCAAAGAATATCCAAAATCGACTTATAAAATTGGTTTTGGAGGCCTTTGATCAAAAACGGGCCGAGCTTCATAAACGAGTTGCATGCCTTATTTTGAAAAGCAGCTTCTTAAAAAGACCTAGGCTTGTTGAAAATATATCGATGTATCGATATATCGATATTTTTTGCCGATATATTTTGATTCGATATATCAATACATCGATACAAAATAACCAATATCGAAATTCATATCAAAAACGATATTTTTTTAATTATTAGCGGCATATCACGATCTAACTAAATTCGTATCTGGAAAAATCGTAACTGGATCTTAGATTAATGATATACAACATATCTATGATCTGTGCGGTATTTAGTATTGTCTATGTCATCATTCGAAAATAGGGTCTATTTTTAGGGAGATAATTTTCGTTCCATTATTTTTCCGCGTGTCATATTTCGTGAGCGATATTTTTGGGAAAATTGGTCCGATATATCGATATATCGATGTTTTTTTCGCGATATATCGAAGCCGATATTCATATTTTTTAAAATATCGATGTATCGATATATCGATATTTTTTTCAACTTTCGACATCCGTAAAAAGACCTAAATAATGTAATTCACACAATAAGGAGAATTTTCTCCGCATAGTGACGTCATCACGGACCTCCGAATGACTAACAGGATGCAAATAAACTGCTTCTCAGAGCCTCGGAGTAACCAAATTCCTTTGGCACTTACAAGGAATCACATGAGAATTTTGGAAATCGGCTTATTAAACCCAATAAGTTTAAAAAACTTTAAACTGCAAAAATTCACTAAAATTTTTTTTTTTTTTTTTTAAGAAAAGAAAAAAAAAACTAAAAGTGATAAGGCTTTTGTTCTACCACTGCTGTCCTTCTTGAATTAACTTATAATAATCAAGATAAACAAATATGGGGAAAAAACACAGCCATTCCAAGCTAAACTGTGATATTGAAATTAAAAATAGCAAAGATACCAATCGTAAAATATAATGAGAATTTCAAGATGTTAACAGATAGTCATAGTCATTTATTCCATAAACAATTTTCATCGTATTGGAAATCACAAACAATTTACAATAAAATTATTAGATAAAATTAAAATCCATTTAAATATGATTAGCATAAAATTACAAAAATTCTTATATAATAACATTTCAAAATTATTAAAACAATTTACAATTAAATTATTACTTCATGCAATATTAATAAAATTAAATATTATTAAAATGACAGCATACAATTTGAAATAAACCGACTATAATTTAAACATGTCAAAGAAATTTCATATTAGATTTAAATTTCTGTCATCTAAATATTCTCCTATGGAATAGTAACACTTCTTCAACAAGAACATTTTAAGTTTGTCTTGGAATTTATATGGACTGTAAATGGTTTTCAATTCTATAGGGAGAACATTAAATAGCTAGATAGCTTGGAATCTCACGCAGTGACTGAAAACGTTAAGCTTAGGTCTGAAGGCACTTTTCAAATCTTTTCGACGAGGTTTTTTACTAGATGTAAAGTATCAAAGACAACAGTGGTACCACAAACATCCAAACTCATATTATTAAGTAAAAGAAGAACTATCTCTTCAATATTTCTTCTTCTTCTCTTCTATTCTCTTCTTCTTCTTGTTTTGTAACCCAAAATGTAAACCAAACTCAGGTCTAGCGACAGCACCAAATTTTCTGTTCCTATTTGACTTTAACTTTGCAGCAGTGCAGCGCAACAATTTAAGCACTAGGATTTAATATCGAAGCCAATTGTCACCTTTTTAACTACGGAAATTGGGTCACGTAGCGTTCCCAAAATCACGAGCTAAATAGGGAGGCATGTTCCCTAGGCACAGGGTGTCAATTCCGCTAAGCTAACGTAAAAATCGTGTAAACATATAACCACAAATAACGTACAAGTGATTACGCAAATCAAAAAAGTCTAAGCAATATGCATAATTTACACAAACTGGAAGTTTCATCAGTTGATATTAATCCAATAGTTATTTCGCTTTTAAATAAAATAATTAAAAATATTGAAAATCGGTCGAAAGCTTATAAAACTCATGTTGCCTTGACCCTTTTGATGATTATATATTTGCGGGTATTGTGTTTTAGTATGAACTAGCGGCCCGCCCTCGCTTCGCTTCGGTGTAGAGCTGAAGTGTAGACTACAGTTTTTGTTCTCAGGCTTGTATTATACACAATGACATTCATCTATGATTCTTCTTATATCTGCATGCAAAGTCTCAGCCCGATCGGTTTCATACAAACTTTCATTCCCTATTTTATCCCCATGGGGGTAGAATTAATCAAAATCCTTTCTTAGCGGATGCCTACGTCATAACATATACCTGCACGCCAAATTTCAGGCCGATCCATCAAGTGGTTTGGGCTGTGCATTGATAGATCACTATGTCAGTCAGTCACCTTTGAATTTTATATATATAGATAACAGTGGCACGTCAGAACTACTGAAACACCATTGGAACACGATTATCACTTTGACTTAGCTCAATCGTCACCCTGCTCTGCGCCTGAGTCGAGTCGCAGGCTTCCAAAAACCTCGTGCGTATTGGGGTCACGCGGTCATCCCGTTACCCACCAAGCAGCCAACCTGTTCGGACGACGCCGCCGCCTGCGCGCATGCACGCATTTTGGGAACGAAACGACGGACCAAACACACTTGAAGGATCATTTACCTGTCCTTTACGAAGCTAAACTTTAGAAGCTTACGAAGGCCAGAGTGAACAGGCATTGAGGAGTTCTAGCCAGAGTGGATAGAACTCAGGTGACGCAGTTACTAATTAAAAGATACTGGATTATTAATGTTGTTTATTTGATTCAAACGAATATAATTATTTTTATCTAAGCTACGCAAGGGTTGGTGCCTGAAGATTGTCTCTTGTATGGAACCTTCTATCAAAAGACAGATGATTCCTTATTTTTAATCTTAAAATCATGACATTAACTTTTTAATATAACTGCCAACCGTAGGCATTGCAAGAGTAAAGAGTTTACCTAAACAAGGAGGCAGTAACGTCACGGACGTCTTCTAGGCAGGCGTGTACCATCCTAGGCCTCATCATCGCTTTCCATCAGGTGAGATTGTGGTCAAACGCATTGCCTATTTTGCATAAAAAAAAAATGGGTGCGTGTACTTATGTAGGCGCGTGAGAAGTTATCCTTCTTTGGCATCGTTTAAAATTAGTTTTTAATTGCATGCAAATAATTAATTACAATAAATTAATAAAAAGTCTGGAAAAGGACACAGTCAATAAAGTTCAGTTTTAATTTGAAAAAATAAATAAATAATCAAAATATTCAATTAAAATCGCTACTGAATATAATTTATTAGAACATATGTGATTTGCACTTGTATGAAACTCAAACACGTATTCCGAATATACAAACTAGAAACATGTGGATAAATATTATAAATATGAATACCTATAACTGTTACTTTATTACAAAAAATAAAGATGTGGTTTTTGGTTCTACTACACCAATGGTCAAGAGATGGCGCTGTAGTCTCCTGAATCGCGCTTTGGTTCCGTTGTTCCAGATTAATAAATACTTTTGATAGGCCTTCACAATGCAGTCGTTAGCACCCACTAAATAGAGATTCTATTTCTATTTTGTTGGTAGATTTTCTTAATGTGCGGTAAACACAAAAGTAACGCATGAAGTTTGTCGCTAAAGCGACCAACTTCATGCTGTTAAAATTTTGTGTTACAGTGATGCGCGCGCATCTTAAAATTTCACTCTCATAATTTTTTCATAACGCGGCTAAAGAAGTATAACTTCAAAAAAAAAGCTGGGAAGCTTGTTATATCATCTGTTAACCAAGGCTTCACAAAACGTGTCATAGTTGCCGTG